GCTCCTCTAAGCTTTGCAGGTGCCATTTCTGATAGATAAACGGGAACGGACTGCCATAAATAAGCGGAGTCATGCTTGAGTCTTCTGATGAGAAGTTAGACAGGAAGATATTAAAAAAGGTGAAAGGAATAGCAAAATTTTACCTGATTAGCAAACCCAACGCCTACACCAAGAAGCACACGTCCAATGATAAGCATTTCAATGTTCCTAGCAGCACCATTAATGATAGCGCCAAGGAAAAAAATAAAACCTCCGAATAACATGGACAATCTTCGACCAAATTTCCTCGTCATTACAGAAGCAAAGAAGGAAGCTACCAAAGCAGCAAGATAAAGGGAAGAGGTAAACAATGTCAGAAGCTGGCTGTCGAATTTGCACCAATTATTCTCATGACCAGTTTCATTTTTCTGATTCTTATAAACTGATGGGAAGAACAACTTGAGAAATTCTTCCATGGAGGTCACCCCTCCTGCAGAAATTATAGAATTACAATCAAAAGAAAGTTATTAGCCAATAGGTCATCATCCTATACCATCTAAACAGCTCCAAAATTCTTGGTAGATTTCACTACATCAACAAAGAGGTTTACGTTTTTTTACCTGAAATTCCAAGGTCATAACCAAAGATGAGACCACCTGTGGCCGCTACCATGCAAGTCACTAAAACAAAGGAAGTGACCCTAGCCTCATAATGTTTTACTCCAGTATCATCGATATAAACACCCCCAGCCATCTCTAGCAGAACTAATGTGAATCTTTAGACCTTTCCTAGAAAATCAAACAAGTGATTAAACAGCGAGTTTTGTCAAACTATTTACAAGGTTTATGTTTTGCATGTGGATCCTTGTGCATTTTTTCTTTCTGTTTTTTTAATCCCTACTTTGTAGTATCTGGATCACTAGTAAAACTCAGCTTTATATATATTTTTGAATAACTTCCCATCCACTGATTTATTTTTTCTGTTATGCCTTTTTTGGGAAATTTGAATGTTCTGAGACTGGCTTTGGCATACCGTTAGTGTTGACCGCATTTTAGTTCGCTAGGCCATTTGGAAACTTTGGACTTGGTAACGTGCATAAATAGCAACACACAGTGGAAACCTGCATTTCTTTTTTCCTTCTTCTGAGCTAAAGAAACTAGAAACTGAACGCTTACAAGGTAGGGAGTAATAACTTGATAAAGAATCTATAAGAAGAAAAATTAAGGAAAAGTAAGAAGATACAAGGGAAAGAGACGAACCCCTTTAAGGTACTGAGCTGAATTATCAGCTGATCACTGATAAAATATGCTTGTCGATTTTGCTAATGTTGCTCTCCAGCTGAATAATCAGACATAATTAAAGAAATATTACAGTAGTAGTTTTGGGTCAAAATTGGATTCCATTTCTAATACCATGAGCCCCATTAAAACTGTTAATTAGAATACGGTTGTTTGAATTTTATTGGGCTAAACCGTGGCCATACAATGACTAGATTAGATCTGGTTAAATGGTTATTTGTTTCTTCCATAGGTAAGACTTGTTGCTTTCTTTGTACATAAAATTTAGTTTTAGCATATTATCATATATGATTTTATATATGGTTTCTAGTTCTAGAAACTTTTAATATTTTTCGGTATATCACTATTAGCTTCAATGGAATGTCAACTTAGATTAATTATGTTGTAGTAAAGATTAGGATTCTCATCCAGTTCTATATTCCTCCTTTTGGGAGAAGCACAGCCTCCCCTGTCATGGCCTACCTCTTCAGTTCATTCAAGAGACAAGTAGAAACATAATCGTAGAAGCATCACATTATCAGCCTGCTTGGTTAGTAAGAATATTAATCATTCACTTTACTCTATCAAATCTGTGGATTCTTTTAGTTCTTAGCTATCTCGATTAGAGGAAGGTAAAATACCAAAATTTTACTCATGCAAGTGGATACCTAAGGGATCAATGCACATATGATCATGAACACATTACTACTTGATGAGTAGGTGCTCATAGTTTACCTATAAGATCAGGCTCAAGCAGCCACGTGAAAATTAAAAAGGACAACCAGACTTATTCTCTAATCTTTATCAGAATCTGTCATATCCAACTGATAGAAGGTTATGCTTCTGAGGCTATATAAACAAGTCCTTTCTGCCCTAAATTTTTCAGACTCAGGACTTAGCAGAAGCAAGCGATAGATACAAAATATAACAAGGCAACTCGCATTTACTCTCCCTCAAGGGCTTCACAACATGTCGTACGTGCAGGCTTAATGTCCCTGCAATGACGACTGAGTGGTAGGCGAAGTCCTTTTGGGAGAGTACATGAGATCTGTCTTGCTCTTTGTCGAAATAAATTCCAAACAGACAAAGCTTCTCAATTCCGACAGAGCTATGGTTTTCTCTTTTTCTTTCTTTTTATGAAAATGTTAAGCTTCCATCCTTAAAACCTTACACCGCTGTGTTTTTCTTTTCATGGGTTAAAACCATTGCTTATATAGGGTTCGAAACGAGTCAATAACTGCTTAGATAATGTTTGATGTATCGTTTTTCCAGACTCCAGTACTTGAAAACGCAAACCTTTCTAGAAATAAATAGTACTGCTATGAAGCTTACAGTCACAAAGAAAGGTTTGGCAGAAAATTCAAATGATCAAACCCATACAGGATGTCATACCCAAATTTAGACTTTAATGTTTTAGGCTCTGGATCCTTATCAATACTTATGTTTTTGCATAGAACTAATTCAAAATACTTCTAGGCAGTTGATATATTTTCTATTTCTAAGCCTAGCTGATATATCTTTATCCATAAATTAATATTTACTGTCCTGTGCAAAGGCTCATCCAGCTATATATAACTTTAATTTGCTACCACCATAACTAACACTACAAAGGGAAAAACGGAACGATAGAATTAAAAAACAGTGGATAATGTCATCAAAGGGCTGACTGTATTATAGAAATATAGTTGAACCCTATATTTGTAATGAATTCATCAAGAAATCCTCCGCCTTTACAGGCCTAAGAGGAATTTGTTAACCTTTATAATCCGAGGTTCATTTCAGATTAGAGACATCAATATTCTGAAGAAGAAAACTTTCAAGACTAAATCATCAAAATTTGAAGATGGCTGGAGGAGGTTTTGTTGCTCAAGGCAGGGGAAGAAACCATGAAGGCCATGTCACTGCCTTTGTGGTGATCACTTGTATGGTTGCTGCAATGGGAGGTCTCCTCTTCGGATATGATATTGGAATTTCAG